ACAACTCCCATCATCCCTAGCTAATAGGACCAGTGGTCAGGGATGATGGGAATTGTAGTCTCAAAACATCTGGAGGGCCGAGTTTGCTTATGCCTGGGTTAGAGTGTTGGACTAGGACCTGGGAGACCAGGGTTCAAATCCCTGCTCAGCAATGTGAAGCCCACTGGATGATCTTCGGCCAGTCACAGTCTCTCAGCCTGACTTCCTCACAGGGCTGTTGTGAGGATAAAATAGAGAGCAAGAGAACCATGTATGCCACCTTCAGCTCCCTGGAGAAAACCTGGGACATAAGCACAATGAATCCATCAATTGACCCAATGCAATGACTCTCGTACTGCATCTGATTGGCCACTAGGCGGAACTTGGTCTTCCCCAGAAGAGCTGCTGTTACTGAAAAAATTCCAGGGCTAAACCTTCTCCCAGATTTAGCTCGCCAGCTCGCCACAGAATATACATCTATTCCATGCAATGTTAAATTGATTGGATGTTATTTTTTCATCCTTGAATAGCTATTCAGGTTTTTTGCGGGTTTGCTAAGGATCACCACATTCATTAGCGGAAGGTTACAGAGGTTGGCTCCCTCTTCAGCTAAAAGCAATCTACTCCTATGTACTTTGAGAAGCTTTAAGAGATTTCCTTTTCCTTTTCTTTCTTTCTCTGTTTTTTTTTTTTTTTACAAGAGCTTTTAAAACTTCCAGGATATTTTACTCCTTAACCATGATGGTCTAACACAATCTACAGGATGTTGTTTATTAATTGGGAGGGGTGTCTCATTACAGATGGTGTTTTTGTAGACTCGGCACTTTTTCATGGCCCACATGCTTCTATCTTATATAAACTGAGGGTTGTTAGATCCTCTATGAAGGAAGCACTAGTTTTGTGGTGACCTGACAGAAGTTGTGCAAGTGTTACAATGGTATGCTGCCTTTTCAAGAGGGCTGAAAATGAAGACAACCAGTATACTACAGAAAGAGAATGCACAGCCCACCATGCGAAGAGAAATATTGATGAGTCCCTGGAAGTTTCAACGGCTTTGAGTTGATGTTCCAAAGAACCAGGTACAACCATAGGAAAATAAGAAAAGCCTGGTGGATCAGGCCCATAGTTCAGCATCCTAAAATCCCGTCAAAGCTAGCAACATGAGTTTGACCAAACTGCGGGATGCAGTGGAAGACAGGAGTGCCTGGTCCATGGGGTCAAGAAGAGTCAGACATGACTAAACAACTAAACAACAAAGAACAAAGGACATGGGACCAACACCAGTCTCCACTCCTGTGCGTTCCAGCAACTGGTATTCAGAAACATACAGCTAGGAGACAATGATAATCTTATCCTCCATGAATCTTTTAAAACTGTCTAGGTTCGTGGCCATCATTGCCTCCCATGGGAACAAATTCCGCAGTTTATCTGTCCTCTGTGTGAAGAAATACATTCTCTGTCCTGGTTCTTCCAGCATTCAGCTTTCTTGCATGTCTGTGAGCTCTAGTGTTGTGACAGAGGGAGAAAAACTTTTCTCTATCCTCTCTCTCCATGCCAGGCAAGCTGGGCATGCATGCAACAGTCCTCTGCTCACCTGAAGTTCCTAGCAATTGGTATAAGAAGCATCATTAGAATCCAGCACATTTGTTAGAATAAAAAGGTAAAGGTAAAGGTCCCCTGACAGTTAAGTCCAGTCACAGACGACTCTGGGGTTGCAGCGCTGATCTTGCTTTAGAGGTCAAGGGAGCTGGCGTTTGTCCACAGACAGTTTTTGCGGGTCATGTGGCCAGCATTCTGGCGCAACAGAACACCGAAAACAGAGCAGCGCACAGAAACGCCGTTTACCTTCCCTATTTATCTACTTGCACTATTTGGCGTGCTTTCAAACTGCTAGGTTGGCAGAAGCTGGGACCGAGCAACAGGAGCTCATCCCATCGTGGGGATTCGAACCTCCGACCTTCTGATCATCAAGCCCAAGAGGCTCAGTGGTTTAGACCACAGCGCCACCACCACCAGCATCCCTTACAGGTAAATTGCAGTTGCACACTCAGCTGAATTTCCCTTTTCCCCATGCCGTTCTTGCAGAATCCATCAAGCATTCTTCCCTCTGTGACCCCTGAATCCAGGTTTTTTGTTAACTGAAAACACACACACACACACACGAGTAAATAGAAGGCTATATAATTTAATCCTTTAAGATGATACCAAGAACCATCTGACCCAGGGACAGATAAAATTTCTCAGAATATAACTTCCTGAGAATAGCTGTTAGGAAATTTCTCCATCCCTCCCAGCTCACAGATATTTCACCAAATCCCCCCTCCCAATACAGAGTAGATACATATTTGGAGGGGTTTTACTCAGCCCTAGATATTAGCCCAGGATCAGGTTGCAGGCAAATTGGAGCCCTGCTTGCAAACTGCAAAGAAATTGGGAACTTCTGTAAGTTTCTAACATTTGGGGATATTTTGCTTAAAACCCTACTGCGCCCTTCAGGATGAAGAGACCCCCTCACTCTTTTGAAAGACACAAGATTGCAGACAGAAGGCAAGAGAATTAACATGGTTTGGCGTTGAGGCTGGTGACCCAAGCCTCTCACATGAAACTGACGAACATTCAAACACTGTTGTTATGCAAGACCCTCAGAATTAAAAGGATGAGCATGAGGATCTGAGCACTTGATATAATTTGCCTTGCATGCTTTAACTTCAGTTAATGGTGATATCCGGAGTCATCCAAAGGTGATACCAGGGTGAATGAATGCAAAACGGGCCTCCCTTCTTCTCTCGCCTCTCACTGATGCTTCCTGGATCTTTCAAAGTTGAAAAGCTGCTAATTTAGCAGTGTCAAATAAAATTTCTAAACTGTATGCCTATAAAAGAACATCTTTGCAATACGGCACAGCAAATATGCTTGCAAAACAGTTCAGTCAGCAAACCTGCTTTAGGTTTTGAAATATCTGGGAATGACATTTATTAGAAGCAAATGCTCATATATCAGCAATATAAAGGACTGCCTCTTCATCACTGCGCCTTTTATTATAGGCACTAATTTCATGGAAAATCCTTTCAATTCTTTGCAAAACACCTGCTGAACTTCAAGAAATATGGTTACTGCTTGTGCCGAGACAGATGTAGCTTAATCACATAATACTGACTTTGACTTTCCAGTTCCTCACAATAAATGAAGTGAAGGTGCTATTGCGGTAGGTTTAAATCTTGCTCCAATTTGTACTCACTTCATGGCTGTGCAGCTTGAAATGAAGAGAGCATCTGAAGAAAATAAACCCAGAGTAGTTACTGGAACAGTATTGACTTGCTTCACTCAAGACATATTTCCTACTGTAGATGCTTATGAAATTCTCCCCATCAAAACTTTCCCCAGATTTGAAGGTTTTGAATTACTCGCTTATTTTGAGAGGGGCTTTTATGCAATAGCAATACACAGCATCTTTGAAATCAAACATTTTTTATTTTCAGGCTTTGTTCAGGTCACTACAAATGTGCACTGTTTGCATGGGTCCTAAAGGACCTTCACTGGCTCCCAGTATGTTTCTGAGCACAATTCAAAGTGCTGGTGCTGACCTTTAATGCCCTAAACAGCTTCGGACCAGTAATCCTGAAGGAGGCTCTCCACTCCCATCGTTCGGCCCGGACACTGAGATCCAGCTCCGAGGGCCTTCTGGCAGTTCCATCACTGCAAGAAGTGAAGCTACAGGGAACCAGAGAGAGGGCCTTCTAGGTAGTGGTGCTCTCCCTCAGATGTCAAGGAGATAAAGAACTACAAAACTTTTAGATAACATCTGAAGGCAGCACTGTATCAGGAAATGTTTAATGTTTGATGTTTTTCTATGTTTTATATATGCTGTAAGCCGCCCAGAGCAGCTGGGGAAACCCAGACAGATGGGTGGGGTTTTTATTACAGTGGTACCTCGGGTTACATACGCTTCAGGATACATACGCTTCAGGCTACAGATTCTGTTAACCCAGAAATAGTACCTCGGGTTAAGAACTTTGCTTCAGGATGAGAACAGAAATCGTGCTCCGGTGGCGCGGCAGCAGCAGGAGGTCCCATTAGCTAAAGTGCTGCTTCAGGTTAAGAATAGTTTCAGGTTAAGAATGGATCTCCAGAATGAATTAAGTACTTAACCCGAGGTACCACTTTATTTACTTACTTACTTACTTACTTACTTACTTACTTACTTACTTATTTGATGTGCATTAATTAGATTAGAACCCTGGAAGGAATCCTGAGTGAATTGAGAAATCACACAAGATTCCTTCTTGCACCAACTTAATCCTTGTACATATGTGTTGCTGAACACATCAGTAACATCTAGGGGAGGGGAGAGGGAAATTCAATGGCAACAAAAAGAATATGGACCATTTCCAGACGACACCAGCGATTTCTCCAGGTTTTAGGCAGGCAGAGCAGAACATATGGCAAAGCAAACAATGAAGAAGAGGGAAAGGCAAACCTGTTTTCTATTTCTGACGGAGGTTATAAGAACATAAGAATGGCAGCTCTTGGATCAGGCCAGTGGTCCATCTTGTCCATCATTGAGAAGCCAACCAGATGCCTATGGAAAGCCTCAAAGTAGGACCTGGACACAACATCTCACTTGTGGTTAAGTTTGTGGTCTACTAAGACCCCTAGATCCTTCTCACATATACTGCTGTCAAGCGATGTGTCCTCCAGCTGTCCACGGCAGGGATGTTTTCCCCAGCTTAAAGGCCCTAAGACCATAAGAAGATGCTGCTAAGCTAGGTCAGTGGCCCATAAGCATCCTGTTCTCATAGTGGGCAACCAGATGTCTGTGAGATTCGAGCACAAAAGCACTCTCCCCTCCAATGATTTCTAGCAACTAGCAGACAGAAGTGTTGCAGTTCTAACTATGAAGGCAGAGCACAGACATCATGACTAGTAGCCATCGATTGCCATCTATGCATTTGTCAAACCTCTTTCAAAGCCATCTAGGTTGGTGGTCATTACTGCCTCTTGTGGGAGTGAGTTCCATAGACCTGATTGCAGTAAGGGAAGTCTCTCTCCAAGGAAATGGCCTGAACCTCATCTTCATCAGGGTCCTCTGCTGCACACTTGGAGTCCCTGGTTTGTGGGTCACAAGAACACTTCTCAGCCCCCAACTTCCAAGCCACCATTATCTCTGATAAAGTTGTGTTGAATTGTGCTTTCTTCTTCTTCTTCTTCTTCTTCTTCTTCTTCTTCTTCTTCTTCTTCTCCTCCTCCTCCTCCTCCTCCCCCTCCTCCTCCTCCTCCTCCTCCTCCTCTTCTTCTTCTTCTTCTTCTTCTTCTTCTTTTCTTCTTCTTCTTCTTCTTCTTCTTGGAAGAGAAGCACCAGTTAGGAAGGATGCCCAGAAATAGGAATATGTCCTGCACCTCCTTCCCATGTAGATGTGGCAGGGCTACTCTCCCCTATTGATTCTTATTTATGCTCCTACGTAAAATAATGGCCCTTTAATTTTACTTCTGCCGATAAGGCAAGTGCTTGAGAAGGGAGGGGGGAACCCATAAAACAATGAAACCTCATGAATATTTATATCAACGACTACATAGCATTATAGTAATAATCTTCAGAACTAGTTTTTACCGGTTCAGAATTAATTATCAAGTTGAGTTTTAATTGCATTCTTCTAAATTACAATTAAAAATACATAATGAATTAGTTTGAAAGTATGCTGCTTGGCCTACTGAGTCCAAAAGTTTCATGAAATCCCATTCTTAATGCTTAATAAGCAGCTGGGGGTGGCGGTGGATGGTATGCTAAGGCATAACTTTTGTGCTTGTTATTGAACATATTAAAACTGTGGGGGTTTTTTATTCCTTTATTTAAGTTCTCGAAGCTGATTCTCCTACTTTGGTCCATCTGTTGATCCACATTAATGTCATAGACAAAACACAGGAAAGATATCTGGGCTGTATCCAGGGCAAGGGGTCCCTACACTGGCCCCATCTGCCATGTTCCCATTTTACTTGCAATAGTCCAACCTCTCTGGAATGAGCAATAAGATCTGAAAGGGACTTATAAAGGCATTGGATATAAGCAGTTCCGCAGCATCGGGGGGAGGGGGCAAAGGTTCCCCACACCTGCCTATGAGGACATTGACTTTGGGGAAGTGTTCCTTGCACACATGAACCTGCTTCTATTTGACATTGTTCATCTTGGATTTCTGAAGGGGGAATTTGTTTCCCATCAAAATTAACCCCAGAGATCCACTGAGAATTCTGTGGATCACCTTCAAAAGGTGATGCTCTCTCCAATGACTGAAAACCCTGTGGGCGTTGAAAACCAGCTTGATGAGATATGCTCCTAATTTATTTATTTTTTAAAAAATGAAAATGTCTTTTAATTTTCACTGTTCTATGGCATTCTGATAACTGGGCACCCCGTTCAAATTTTCATCAAGGATAAAAGAGAGTGGGAAAGGTGATTTCTACTTATTTATTTGAGAAACCAATTCTAAGTATTTCTTCATAACCCAGTTATGGGATGCGCTGTAACTTTGGAAAGAGGGGAAAGCGAGGGGGGCAAATCAAAGACCAAGGTATTGCTTAAAAAAAGAAGAAGAAGCTATCTATGAAGTTTGATGCTGGCAAAGTTGAGCCCAAGTAAGAATCAATAAAGCCAATCATGTACAATCAACACTTATGTGGATTTAAGTCACGTGTCTCCAGGGCTTAAAATAGAGCCACGTTATTCCAAACAACCCCATCAAGGACTTTACTTAAAGGAGATTTCACAGAAGTATCTCCAGAAAGGATTTTGTTGTTGTTACTTTCCTTTAGTAGTGGGAGATGCCAAACTGCCTGTATCACCAACCAAAGACAAAAAAGGGGTGGGAAGGTAGGGAATGTGTTTGAAGCAAGAAAATCCTGAGAAATTAACTGTTGTCCAATTTGCGAGGGGTGGTGGGGTGAAGATTCATGTTTGGGAGGGGTTTTCTGCTGCTGCTTCCCTTTCACAGTCAATTTGCTGGGAGTGGGATCTTGGAAAGAACATGCTGACATCCAGCAAAAGGGCTAACCTTTCAGGAAGCTTTTCAATATTTATACATTGGAACACTTGTTAAGATTTCCTACATTTTTCCTAAGGGGCCTTTTACATCTTCAGTCTGCATTTATCTTACCCCCTTTCTGTTTCACCAGAGATACATGTCTAGGGATGAGGGGGAAAATTCGACTCACAGTTTGCATTTAAAGGTGAACCTACCTAATTCACACTTTCTGAAACAAGATGCAAAGCAGAGCGCAGAGCCGTCTTTCAAAATTTTGTAGTGCTGTTCTCCAGCCAAGTAATACGTTCCCCCAAAAATGCATATACAATATGGTAAAGCGTACATAAAAATGCATATGTTCATGAAAATGAGAGAGAAATTGAATCAGATTAGAAGGGATGGCTTTGCAAATATGTCAGCTAAGGAAGTCTACAGATAAAAGTGTGTCTATTAGGAGATATTTGTATTAAAATGCTGATGAAATTTCATGAGGATGTCTTCTTTTTAAAATAGTTTTAAAAATTGCAAACTGGTGTGGGAATGTGGAGAACTGAGTTGAAGATTGGTAAAATGAGAAAGGGATGGGAACCAAAATGGGCAAAGCGTGTTCTCCTTCATGGAGAGCACGTGTTGCGGTGGGGGCCGACAGGACACTCCAAAGTTGTGGGGCAGGCTAATTGATCGTTGGCCACTGTTGTGATTGGACGTCCCTTGTTGTTGGGAAGAAGTTAATGTTGCCATTTGTTGATTGACAGCCAGAAATGTTAAAACTCCCTGCACAAGGCGTAGAGCTTCCTCTTTTCGCCCCATGCATCGGATTGCCTATCCCTCCCTCCCTATATTTAGGGTTGTTCGCTTTGACCTTGCTATGCCTGTCATGGGGTCATCTGCTCTTGGGGCAGGGGCCTGGTAGGAATTTTGGCTGATTGGCCTGGTAGGAATCTGGCTGATTGGCTGGGGCCATTTGATTTTTACCTATTGTGTAGCAAATCATCACAACTTGTAAGGTTGCGGTTAGGCATTGGTTGATGATTAGGTTGGTTGAAGGGTAAGGGTTGGCTGTGCCTGCCCCTCTAATGCTGCTGCTGCAAGGGATTCCATTAAAGGAATACAGGGGCTCACTATTGCTTTGTCCAAACCCTGTCAAGGGCTAGGCCACGAGAGCCCCTGGTTGCATTTGGGGAGGGCTGAGGGCAGGTTCCCTGCCTCGTCGCTACCCCCAGATGTATTCCCCTTTCTGACTTTCACAGGCGTGCAGAATGTTAGTCTGTCCCCCACTGGGGGCAGATAGTCGCAACCAATGCCTAAGCAACCACTCACATTTTTGTATTTTAATAAAGTTGTTGCCAAAATTATGCCAAAAACCTTAAACAAAATTTCTGTGTGATGTGTGAGTTATTTGGGGTGGCCCTGGGGACCTTGACACGCAACTGTTTCAGCCTAGTGACATGAGCTGGGAGGGGCCTTTCTTCAGCCACAAACTCCTTAGGTGATAATGTCCAAGTGGAACAAGGAGGGGCATCTCCAAATGTCTCAAAGTCTGGAACATGTAGAGAGAAAATAACATTGTAGCCACCAGACCATGCGGCCTTAAGAGATCTTGCAGCAGACTCTCCCCACCAGTGGTAAATTGGACTTATTAAATGGAACCTTTAGGAAGATTGCACCCAGCATCTTAAGTAAGAGGCCATTTAAATGGACCAAATAAATGGGGAATTCTTTTCAGGTAGAAATAAGTCAAGGAATGAATATTGTGTTTCATTTTTTTTTTCATATGGATAAGCACATACTGTATACTTATTCTCTGCCTGTTCCTTCCATCCCTGAACTTCCTACATTGGTTTATTATGCACCTGAACTGTGTCTGTTTACTCTGAGGCAAATCCTAGCGGCTTATAAGCAAATTAAGGGATGCAGTTTGAGGATGCATATTTTATTTTGTCTGAGCCAATGGAGGCATCCTTCCTATTCATTCCTTCATCACTCTTCCCAACAACCTTCTCCAAAATGTTGCCACAGCCCTCTGAGGATGCCAGCTTCTATTGCCAACCTGAAATATTAAGGGGGGAAGCTATTAAACATTCCCTTTACATACTGTCTCCCTTTTATATCTGAATTATTAGTACGATGAATGCCGGTCATCAAAAGAAATAATGAGTTTGAGAAAGCAAAAATGAAACTCACAAAGACAAAAAGGAATCGCGGCCAGGCAGAAGGGTCCTCAGAGAAGGTGGAACAAAGAGGTAGAGGATAAAAAGAGAAAAATCAAGAATCAACAAAGAAGAAGACGAGAAGAAAGAGAGAGGGAGGGGGAGCAAGAACTGTGTAAGAGGGAGAAGGTTTCTCTTCCCTTTACTGCAGAGTCAGGGATTATCCAGATGCTAAGTTCAAATTGCGCACCCTACGCAAATTTAGGCATCCTAGAACACCCCTCCAAGCCCTTCACAAAACCCAACGTTGTAATATCAAGTCCAAACACAACGTTAAATTCACAAAATATTAAGCCGAAAGAAAACCCAACCAACAACCCCACAAAAAAAGCACTGCCCTCCAACATTTCTGTGATTAAAATAGGGATGTCTTAATTAATTAATATAATAATACCCTGTCCATCTGACTGGGCTACCCCAGCCACTCTGGGCGCTTCCAACAGATATAAAAACATAATAAAACAGTAAACAGTATTTAAAAAATATTAATTCCCTAATCAGGGCTGCCTTCAGATGTTTTCTAGAAGTTGTATATTTACTTATCTCCTTGGCTTGGAGGTTGCATTACTCCATATCCGCCAATATTTCTCTGATGAAAATAGGGACGTCCTAAGGAAAAGCGGGACATCCGGGGTCAAATCAGAAACTGGGATGGCTTCTATAAATCCAGGACTGTCCCTGGGAAATAGGGACACTTGGAGGATCCCTATATTTGTTTCAAATCTAGTTGCTGTAGATCAAAAGGATGCCAAAAAACTTCAAGTCCAAAGCAACTGCCAAGATGTGATGGTTCCACATACAATGCCAGCTGCAGTTCTGGAGAAGCACATGGATCAAAACAGCAGGCTCAGAATTCTGGATGCATTTGATAATAATACGGCAGGGACTGGGAAAACAAAACTTCCTGGATGCCACGCGAGGGCGGGGAAAATTTCCTTCCTCCCTCCTGCTTCCTGATTGCCACTGCACTGCCCAAAAGCAGGAGGGGAGGAAGGAGGCAAGCTAGGAAGCTTTTGCATGACCAGGCAGCATTCATAAGGAAGGAATAAAGACTCTGACAACATTATATGGAATTAAAATTAGGTCACAACTTTATTAAACTTCTGAATGTAGGAAGACCTTGGCTTAGGCCTTGGGCGTGTACCCTTCCCAGCCCCCCAGCCGGGGGAAACTGGGGTTCATCAG